AATTTACTGTCTGAAGCATGTGGACATATGGCTTCTTGTTACATCATGCGTTGCATTCTTTGCAACCACTTAGAACCTATAGATTTACTCCTGCTTTTTGTTTATTTGTTTTTGGTTTTTGTTTTGTGTTGTTGTTGTTGCTGTTGTCTTCAGCTGTTTCTGTTGCAGGAACAGAAAAGGAAAAAGAATACTACATGCATTGTTTATACCTTCAGGGATATTCACATGACCTCTGTGCCTCCTTCTTTTTGGAAAGCATCCTGGGAATAACACCAGAGATTTAATTAACTCTGGTCTGTTACTTCATTTCAAAATGTAGAAAAGGCTAGCACTGCCTGAAGGAAACAACCTCCTTCCTCTGCCTTCCCCCAAGAGAAGAACAGGATCAGGCCCTAGAGGTATATCAGAGTTTTTTCCAATGGTAAAGACCTTATCTCCACAAAACTGAGCTCCTTTCCTAATTGCAATGCCTCCCTCCTTGTTCACAATGAAATGGCAGGCTCTCCATTCTTCTTGTGCTGAAAAGGGCTGGTCCTTGCCCTCCAGGACCTGGCAGCTTGGAATGAAAAAGGCAAATATTCTATCTTTAAACAAGTATTGCAAATAAAATTAATAAACCTGCCAATGTCTGGAAATGGATCAGTATAGCAGTAGTAAATGTTAGATGGGTATAGAGATATGTCAACAGTATGCCTTATAGTAAGTAATAAAAATTACAAACAAAAAGTTTGTCTTTTTATCTGATGGCTCCAGATAGACTCTTTTTCATGAGGTTGCCTCAGGCCTGAATTGCCTTTTGGTAAAGATTAGCAGCTGGCCATTTGAGAAACTGCCATGGCTGGGGAAAAAATCCAGCAGCTCACTGATCGAGCTACAGCTACCATCTACACAGTTGTGCAGAAACCAGCAGATGGCACAAAACCTTAAATGTTCTTCTTTGGCCAGCAGGTCATTGTGTGGTGAGATCCTGCTGAAGGAGAGATTTTAGCCAGCTCTGCATTCATCCTGTTCTACCAAGGCAGCAAGATATGGAAGACAGGCTAGAACTTAATTTTTCTGGCAAGATCTTGTCAAGGGTCTGAGAAAACCTGTCAGGTTTTCCAGGCTTACTGCCCACCATGACAGAGAGGATGAGGCTTCTTGACTTCTCTTGCTTTGAGCAGCCCCCCTGTTTCACTTAAAAACAGGGTGAAAAGTGTGTATCATTTTCTGAGATGTGTTTTGTGCACAGGAGTATGTGAAGTTCTGCTCTGCCAATTGTCAGTCAATAATTTCAGAAATAATTACACTATCATTTTTCAGAAGGGAAAGGTGTGTCTCAGTTCCTGTCATTTAAAACTGTGAGGTATTTGAATATTGCCTTGAAAGTCCTAAGGCAGTGATTTATGATGCCTTTTTAACCTAATTATATAACACACCCAACATCTTACCCTTGAACCAGAGAGGAACAAACTTCAAACAATTTCCTCTTCATCTGTATTGCACCACTCACTTCCTTGGAAAAGATCCACATTTCTGAGCAGAAGTCACAGAAACTGAAAACCTTTATGTCCTAAACATGGTGTCCCACTGTGGGAAAGCCTTATTTCTCCTTTTTCATCCCTGAAAAAGAGCCTGGCATCAGCAGCATGAATTGGATCGAAAGCAGGAGGATCAAGTACCCAGAACTCATGGTGCACCAACCACTGCAGAAGCTGTCTGGGGGGACTCTGAATGCACACACCTGTAGCTGTTTTCCAGTGCCCTGGCCAACAAACCCACAATTTGCTCACCCACTGGACAGCAGGGAACTTAGTGCCTGATGCAGGAGCGTATTTAGAGCTCTCATCCTGTGCCATCTGCTGCCAAGCTAGCAGTAGAAGTTACTAAATCTGACATGACAGTGCAATTGCAGCAATTCCCACAGCAGTTTACCCAATGCTTGTTCCAATAATAAGGCAAAAGGAGGACTTGCTAGGATGCAGGAAATCTGAAACTGCTGGTGAAGTATTTCACAGGACAGGGAAGAAGATAAGATTAACCATCTCATCTGCATACCCGTTTTGCTGCATGTCATTAAAACTACCAGTGATCCTTGTGCTGAATTCAGTACACTGAACAGTCTGGCCATCACTTCCACTAAAAACCAGCCAGTTTTGGTGAGCAAGTCTGGAACGGGCTCTTGGGTATCTTCTTTGACAACCAAACACATCTTTGGGCATCTTTGTTTTATAAAATCTGTTTCATGTTACATCAAATTCAACAAACCCAGGAATATGTTTCAATGCTTTGATTCCTCCCCTTTTTCCCCCTATGCCCAGTACAAATAGCCATAATACTGCAAAAATGAAGGTAAATTTGATTCTGTTTTCTTCTTGCTCTAAAGAGCAAAAAATGCAGTGACAGATGTTATGCTCACCAACCAAAATCTTGTGCTGTGATTAGCTATTATTAGCATGTGTCTAATCCCCAGGGGATTAAGTGGTTCATCTAAGCATGGCTTCAAGTGTCACCTATGTCTCACATGGACATAAACTAATCTCTTTTGTTGGAAACAGATGAAGTGATAAGTGTTTGGAAGCCTTCTAATTTACTGAAAACACTGCAGTTTGTCAGGGTGAAAGAGCATGTTTTATATTCTGTGTCAGTCCCTTTAAAATCTAATAGGCATCTAGCCCTGAAGTGCAGTTAAAGAAGTTACTTTTTATGTGACTCTTTAAATAGCCAAGCAGTCCCAGTTACCATGAGCTCATTTCTGTGCTGACTTGCCCAGGTTGCCTCTGAAGACACACAGATGGCATGAATAAGATGGGTTCAGTCACTACACTGCATGCAAACTACCACTGCCTCCCTCTAAAGTGTAAATGGAAGCTCCACAGAGACCAAATCAAAGTTGCCTCTAGCAGCAAGCAAGGACAGCTTTTTCCAGGCAAGATGCTTCCACGCAAACCCTAAACAAGCTGTCTGTAAAGCAACAGAGTTCACACCAGCTGCAGGGCAAAGCTGTGTGCTTCTGTTCAAGAGGTTCTGGGCAAGAGGCAGTAAGTGATCACTGGAGCAAACCCAAAACATCCAGAAGGCTTCATGCTCACTCTGGAAGTCCAGACTGTTGGATCAGAATCAAAAGCTTCAGGACTTTCCTGGCTGACTCCATAGGAATTATATGGCTGTCCTTAGTGGTTATGTCCAAGGCTTCCCAGCACTTAGCACCCAGTGTGAGGAATAACTGCTAATACCATCAACTCCTATTTGAATGTCTGAAATCTTAGCTCTCACAGGTGAGCCTGGGAGAAAGAGTTCAGGAGCAACCTTTGCAGTTAGAGAAATTATTTGGGCGCTAGAGAATGGCAGGCACGGTTTGCTGTCAAAAGTACTCTTCTAGTGATCTCTGCCTTCTTGTCTTTTTCTGATGTATTGTATTCCCACGAGAGGCTACTAAAAGGAACATTTTGGGAAGGAGAGAGAGCAGTAGTATTTCTGTGACTGGAAATGTGGACAAAATGATCTAGGAAGAATGTACATAAAAATGTTTCATTGCACAGGAGAACCGAGGACTCTTAAGATTCTGATATAAAACGTGAAGGCTAAACTTCATTTTTGCACTTTTTTGTCCCCTCCCCCATGTAGGTAATGCATAATGTCTTCCTATTCTTGAAAGGATCATCTTAATTTGAGGATGCAGGTATGAGAAGAACTAATTATGTACCTGCTCCATGCAGGCTGACAAAACACGTGCCTATGCAGATGCGTGTGTATAGCCCAAGTGTTTCTCTAATTAATGCTCTGTGCTTATTCTCCTAACATGTGTTAGAGGCAGAAAGACTTCAACGAGACAAAGCAGTAGTACAATCAAATCATCAGATTTATTAGCTTTCTGGGCAGCTTTTTCCATTATGTAAAAGCTGTGTTTGTATTAGTATAGCAGTCAGACCCACCAGTGTGAGGATTACAGTTGGTTTTTACATAATGGATTATCCAAGATTAAGTGTTTTATTCAGGCACACGAGCAAAAATAACCAATTAGTGACTTTGCAGATTCCTTATTTAAAGGGAGCTGGAGGGCAATTGACACAAAACCCTCCTGCTACCTGCAGTCCAAAGACTGAAGCAGAGTAGTCTCAAGGATCTCCAACATCTCTACCTGGCAGGTAGGTCTCTCTTCAGCAGAGGTGGATCAGACTGGCATCTCTTGCATCAGGGAAATGCAGCTTGCATGGCAGCTGCATGGGTGCTAGGGCTCTGGGTTGGTAGCTCAGCTTGGTTGGTGCTGACAAGTATTAGATAACTATTTTATATCGGTATCAGGACAGGCACTCAGTGTCAAATACTGTGAAGGTTCTCATTTTCTGAAGTCTGAGAGACAAATATGCTGGGATATGGATGAGGTGGGATATCCAAGGAGAAAAACAGCCATGGGCACCTACTGGTTGTGCTGCAATGACAGATCAGGCCTCTAGAAAATGAATAGTATCCATCATGTTTGTTGAAGGAATAGTCAGAGGGCAGCCAATATCAAGGTGCATTATGCCATTAGAGCAGACACCTAGGAATGGCCTGTTTTGGTGAGCAGAACTGGAGGTAAAGAACACGGCTTCACTGGCTTGAAAGCAAAGTGGACACTCACTGTGAAATAATTAGAAACAACGTCTTTACAATATACAGTGCTTTACCAGAGCTCATTAGAACATTTTTCGTCCTGTGAAAACAAAATTCAAAAAATTTCAATTTTTTTACCAATTCTTACTAACCTTATCCATAGTCTGGCTTGATTTATAATACAAAAATAATATTAATTGCATTACCACTACTGGCAAGCAAATATCCTCCAAAGTAATTGCCACTGATGTTTTGTTTTGGCTGAATTTAGGCACCACAATGACTCAGTATCAAAGGAAGCACTGGTTGTCAGTATCAATGGAAGAGCTAGTATGGAAAGAAACTAGTCTTAAAATGATAGAAATACATCTGTAGCACCATCTACTGCATGAAATAAACCCCCATGTTTGCTTTTGTCTTGCAGAATGAAATACGCACAGTATGTTTTCCTGGCCTCGGTCTTCTACACTGTTGAATACAGCCTAGCTCAGACCTGTGCAGTGGAGTCTTTCTCTGTGAAAGACAATTTTGATCCAAAAAGGGTAACTATGGCTACCTCAATAGTATATGTGAAGAAGCTTTACATATAAAATGTTTTTCCAGATTACGAGTTTTGTTCGTCTAAAGGGGTTCTTCACCAAAAAGCTAACTTCTTTCATATTCTGTGTTGCTGATGCTGTTCCTGTAGTTTTCTCAGTACTGTTTAACCTTCTGAAAATTACAGTAAAACTGAGCTTGAAAGCCAGGGATGTTACTAGAGCTCATCTTGTTAGCCTGGCAGAGTTTGAGCTTCGAGCAGTTCCTTAAAAGGAACAATTTAGATCCACATCAGAGAGGAAGCTCAAGCACAAGCCCTAGGGTACTTGCATCCACCACTAGACATTTCTGGGAGCCATAGCAAATGGAAATCTTACCTAGTCTGGTATGCGGAACACTGACTCCTGCTGAAACATCATTTGTGCTTCTGAGGAGAAAATGAGGGCTAATCTGCTGTTGGAAAGGTCCAGATGAGTGTCAGTACCTATGTTAACTAATGGTCAGCAAACACAATTCTAGGGACAGATGGGATATGGCGAGTACTTTGTCCATACACGATTGGTTTTGCTTTGGAAACAAATCATGTCTGGAGAGAGCTTTGGGAATCTCCCAGTTTTAAAAAGTCAAAGCTTTTGCTTGGATTCCTGTATTTGGGAATCACAGCTTTGCAGGCTTAAGAACAAAACTTGCCTAACAGATGTCATTAGCTTCACTGCAGAATCAATTTTAACACAGATAGTTCCTGCTCTTCTCAGCATTTCTACTGATAATGTTAACTTCTAAGGGTCTTCCTCTCTGTCAGTCACCTGTTAAGATCTTGTTTTCATTCTAGTAGATACCTCTTGTACATTTTCAGGGGCCCATTTTTTTGCTTGGACGTATTCTTCCTCTGAATCTCTCTCCGTTTCTCTCTGCTGTTACTCCCCAAAACACAAATTGAGTATGTAGTCATCATTTTCTGCTTTGCTGGGTATACCCTTTTCCCCATCAAGAGATCAACTGTGGCCCCTGGCAGCCACAAAGATTGTCTCCAGCCAGCTTGCTACAGTCTTTTTACCTGCGGTTTGATATTGTTGAATTTGGTATGGTATTCCATGGAAGGGGCTTGAACTGAACAGAGAAGAACCAGTCTGACTCTCACAAGATGTGTTAGGGTGGGAGATGCTTTTGGTGTGGGGTCACAGTGGCAGGAATGTCTTACTCCACCAGGACTACACACACAGAGCAGTGCAGAGCCGCTAGACTCACTTCTGGCACAGAGGCAAGGGTTCATCAGGCAGCACTGCAGCATCTGTGGGCTACATTCCCTCCCAAACTCAGACTGGCATTTATCAGGCAGTGGGGAGTTAGAAAGGCACTTTGATCACAAAATTGTTTTTGTGCTAATCTTGCCATGGTGGCTAATGCAGATATTAATACTCTTCCATGACAGTATGCAGGGAAATGGTATGCCCTGGCCAAGAAGGATCCAGAAGGCCTTTTCCTTCAGGACAACATCTCTGCTGAATACACTGTGGAGGAAGATGGCACAATGACGGCATCCTCCAAAGGCAGAGTCAAGCTTTTTGGGTGAGGTCTCTTGACTTTCAGCTCTAGCTGTTGTTATGAGGTACTGTATGAGGGGGATATGGATTATGACCTACCCTGAATACACAACATGGCTGGGTTTTCTTCATCTAAAAGGGAAGCTCAGGTAAAATATTAGATTAGAAAATAGAGGTTAGACACTTACTTCTGAGCCCTGAGTTTCTTCACAGCCTGGCTCAGGTTTAGGTCCATCACAAAACTACTGCATAAAGTTAATTATTAAGTCATCTTAACTGATGGAATGGTTAGATAAATTAATTGCAATCAAGTAAAGGAGGTAATGAAGGCTGTCAAGATGCAAGATTTCTGAGGAAAACCTGTGGCTAACTCTTAGATGTAATTGCAATGCCTGAATGGACAGATGGCAGGAAGCTTAGAGTTTTGCCTGTTGGTCATGATTACTGCAAGGAATTACAGCATGTAAAGAGATTAAATAGCTTCCTAAGTGCAAAAAAGAAAATCTGTGGCTTCCAATATGCTAGCACTAGCAGGTGGCTATGAACCTTTTACATCTCAACAGTGCAGCACACCAAGATATTTTGAGAATGGGCAAATGAGGTTTTGCAGGCATGCCATACTGTGCAAGGGGGAAGATGCTGGAAAGGACTCTTCAGAAAACAAGCGGAGTCTCAAGGCTGCTGCAAATTTTATTTCTGCAAAATCAGGATAAGGGGAAGCCCAGCCTGAGCAAGGAAGGGAATGAAGACCCTTCCACTGTTTCATTAATCCAGGTAATTCTTGATGAACAGTGTTGAAATGTGGATGGCATTTAAAGGAAACAGATACCAAACAGAGAAGGGTATTGGAACAAATGGACACTCACAGGGTTCTCAAAGGCTCTGACAGCTTTTCACCAGCTGACAGCTGGCAGAGGGGCTGTAAATATTGTAACACACATTCCTGTGCCCATATTGCTGGGAAAAGATAGACAAGGGAGAGCCAAGTCCCTGCATCTTCCTGGGGGACAGCTACTGACCCCGAAAGAGCCCAAATGCAGGTGAGCTCACCCTGCAGACTGCCAGCAGGGAGCCAAGAAACAACATTCATTATTGTGTTTGGTGGCTGACTGCTTGTACAGAAATGGGTGGCAAAAATCTTACTGAACTGAAGGAGGGTCAGGGCACTGCCCCAGCCACAGCGCTGCCTTACAGCAGAGTTTGGAACCAGAGAACAGCAGCAATCACTGGCAGTGTTTGGGAGGTGTCACAGATTTGCTTTACTTAATGACAGTGACTTTGCACTAAGAAAGGCCATGCCCATGCCTGAGGCATTTGTGCCCAAACCCTGAGTGAAGGACACCCATTGGAAGCTCTCATGCTGCTAGATTTTACCTTGAATCTTATGGATCTCATTGCAGTTTCTGGGTGATCTGTGCTGACATGGCTGCTCAGTACACAGTACCTGACCCAACCACTCCAGCAAAAATGTATATGACCTACCAGGGACTGGCCAGCTACCTCTCCAGTGGTGGTGAGTTAAATTCTCCAGCCCATTGATGCTTTTCAATTGCTTACAGCTGTCCAGATGTGCCTTACCACAGATAAGCAGAAAAAACAGTTCAGCTCAAGATTGCTGCAAGTCCCCCCTCAAACATCCTTTTTGGGGAGGATGCTTTATCCAAGCAGTGCATTTTATCTCCACAGAAAGGCCAGCATCCAGAGACTCCCCACAGATCCTTCTCGTACACTTTATATCTTAACAAAGAGGCTCAGAGGCATTGAGCCACACACAATGTACAGCCAATTGAGGTGGTCAGCCTACGGAAGACACATTTCCTGGGGCTCATTGCAGGCATTAGGGAAGTGCTAAAGTCAGTCACCCCTGTACTCCTCATAGCTAAACAGAGGAGACAGGTAGAACCACAGCTGCACCCCAGCAACACGACACATTTCTCCTCAGAGAGACACAGCTGGACTCAAAGAAATGGAGTTGTTAACTCAAGTCCATCTTTCAGAAACTGCTAATGCTGAACCTCAGTTACACTGAGGGCCCTTCAAAGCCTATCCTTTGTGGCCGAGCCTACCATAGCTGCAATTCCTCAGCTGTGGAAGTTGGGGATGACTTCTACGGTGTAACAAAGAAGTACATTCCCTTAGTACTGGCAGATAAACCACACCAAAAAGAACTATGTTAAGCAAGGCTTGAAAACATGAGGAATGTTTTACTGAGGCTTCCTGTATAGGAAATGTAATCTGTACTCTATGTCCTTCCTTCCACCATGCTTGAGCAAGCAACAGAAAGAGGCATTTTTTCATTGAAAACCTAGAAAATCATAGTCCTCCTAATATTTCTAGCCTAAGAAACAAAAGGTGAAAATGCACTGAACATCGTGGGGAAAATCATGGTCTCAAGATGCCCTGTGCTTGTCCCAGTTCTTCCCCTCATGGTGTGGAGATAAGCTGGATGTCTGACATGATGATACATCCTTTGGAAAGCTATCACTGTCATGTCGAGTTTGTCACCTCTGCTCTGCTGTGCCCACTGTGACAAAGATGTGTGTTCTGTTGTTTCAGGGGACAACTACTGGGTGATTGACACTGACTATGACAACTATGCCATCACCTACGCCTGCCGCAGCCTGAAGGAGGACGGCTCCTGTGACGATGGCTACTCCCTGATCTTCTCGCGCAACCCCCGCGGCCTCCCCCCAGCCATCCAGCGCATTGTGCGCCAAAAGCAGGAGGAAATCTGCATGTCTGGCCAGTTCCAGCCTGTGCTTCAGTCAGGTACTTTGGCTAATTAGCAAACTCACTGAGTTGCAGAGTAGGTGACTGCATTTGCTGTTAATGTGACAAAACAAATTCAGTTGTTCTTTTTGAGCAACATTTTCCTCATGTTAGATCTAATAGGAAAAGAGCTACAAAGGGCAAACCATACAAGAACAAAAGGCTGGGTCTGCAGCCTTAAGATTGCTACTTACCAGAATCCTTTGTGTTGAAACTGGTACATGACCAGATGAAGATCAGCCTTGTTACTGTAGTAGACAGTACAAGGATGGATGCAACAAGTTGGTGTCTCTGCTCTTGGAAATGCTTGTGTTGGCCACTTGCATAATAGCATCTTACCTTGGGTCTGAAAAGTGTCCTCCAGGAAAAGATGAAAAGGTGCCAGCAAGGACCACTCTCACACTCAGTTCCATCATGACTTGTGTCCTGTGTGGTCTGAGTAGCAGGGGTGAGGGGCCCTGAGCAGCATTTCTGACTGCACCAGCTGGCAGTGGGAGTCAGCAGTTGCTCCACATACACACAAACAGACCATGTCTAATGCCATTTTGAGAACATTTTTCTGGAGGTATAGGAGTTGATCTTCTAGTCCAAATGCTGCCTATGAAATAGGCAGACACATTTTTAGGGCTCTGCAGAAGGCAGAAATTCTTCTTTGTTGGCAGTTGAGCATTCACACCCTTCACAACCTCACTACCTGGCCTGGGAGTTGACCTGTTACTAAGCCACATAACATGTTTTCTGCACTGTGGGACAAGGAATGGCAGCTAAAATCTACTGAATTGTTGTGTGTCAGCCAGTCCTCTACTACAAAGCAGGTATTGTCATCACCCAAGGCCATGGGCATGGCGTGGGCATCCCTGCCCCATACCCCTCTGTGCTGCTCCCCTGCAGAGAAGGCAGATGGTTTGCAGGGTCATGGCTCGGTCCTCAGGAAAGCTGAGTGCCCTTGGCAAACTGGGAAATGCTGCCTGTGTCTGTGCCAATAGAGAGAAATGCAAACAGCAACTTTTGCACCCTGAATCCTAGTCTTGTACTGTGATTCAGTACAAGTACCCTAGGAAAGCTGTAGTTACTGTTTCACTGGAGACTGAATGGCTGTTAAAGCACTTTATAAATTTACTTACACAGACTAAAGTTTACTTTTCTTTCTTTCCAGGGGCCTGCTAAAAGTACGCTTCTGATTGTATCCTTAAGCACAGAAACCAGACCGCTTGGTCTTGAAGTTGCCACTCAACTAATCATAAAAAAAATAACATAGTATGGAATAGTGTGTTTTTCCTGAAAAACACATGAAAATATTGGGGGATCTTTAAACAGTGTGCAATATAATAGTGATATTTGAATTTTCAAGGGAATACCTAATGTGGCATTTGTCAATAAATGTTTTTGGAAAAAAGGCACCTCTGAAACTGTTTTTTATTGCCTGTTGTCCAGTCTGTTGGGGAGCAGAAGCACTGAGGATGCTCACTGAGGTGCTCCCAGCACAGATGGGGCAGTGTCACTCCCCAGCACTCAACGGGGGGGCAGGGCAAGGATGGTAAGAGGGGCACGTCCCCTGACAGGGCTGACTGTCAGACAGCAGCATGGTGACAGGGTAAGTCTGGGATTCCCCCAGCAAGACAGCAACTGAGGGCAGCAAGACGCAGGGCAGTGTGCAGGCACATCAAGGAGATGGCTCCAGCCAAAAACAGGACTCAAGAGCATGTCTGAGGCAGAGCTACCTGCAGCAAAGTTCCCAAGGGGAGAACCACAAATGCAATGAAACAGATGCTACTTTCAGTAACACTGTACAATGCTTTAAATAAGTGGGTGCTTGCATTTCTAGTGGCATTAACAGTAATTTGCTCCTCTCTGCCCTCATAATCCAGTTTTCAGTATCTGGAAAGTATAGAAATGAAAGATATATAATAGACTGGATTTATGGCAAAGAATTTCACAGATAAAGAAAATGAAGAGTACTTGGAAATCTCCATGTATAAAAAGGGTAACCCGGGCCAGCATTATTGACATGTATTTCCCACTGCTTTTACTATAATCACATCCACTTTGTGTTTCCTAGTAATAAAAATACCCATCTAGAACACCCCAGTATCCTGCCAAACCCCGCAGTTTATCAACTACACAATTTTTACAAGTTATAATTATGAAGCATAGAGGTAAGACCAAGCTGAACAGCCCCTACTCCTGAGGCTTCCAAAAGGTGTGTGGAACGAGGCTGATGTTGACTGAAGATCTTCAGAGCAGTACACTGTTAAAACAGCTTCTGCAAGGTGCTTGCACAATCTTACCCACAGCAGCCAGAAAGAGTATAGAAACCAAAGACCAGAGGCACTCTCCAGGACCAGAGATGTTATCCCAGAGATGCAGTGAAGTCTCTCAAACTTGTATTCCCCAGAATTTCCTGGCAATACTCATAAGGCTCTCAACCTGCTTGAACAAATGTGTCCTTGCTCTTCAGGTCTAGGGAAAGCTACCCTGACAGGGAACAATATTGTGAGCTACTACCTAAAGCTAAGGACAGAAACACAGGGGCACTAGCAGGCAATCCTAACAAAACCCCACATAGACAGAGAACTACTGAGTGTTGAAAAAATATCAGCCTTTTCTGCTGGATTAAGTACAAGGTCAGTGCATTGATTGAATGTTCTCCACTTCCACCCTTCTCCAGGAAGTATTGGGGTGGAATCTGTGACCTTAGGACTCGTGTAACAACTGATTAGAAAGCACTAACCCTCAGCTGAAGGAGCATGGCCTTTGGCCAAAACTGTCAGACTAATACTACCAGCCTTAGAGAAGTGGGATTTTTAATGTTTATACTAATTGTAAAACCAGAGTAGATGAGAGTTGAGAAGATACAATAAATATGAAGGATCTTTTGTGCTTGGTGTAGTCTGTCCAGACAAGGTAGGCAGTGAAATTCCTCCTTAGCCACATGAGACAAAGCCTGCAGGATCACAGAAATACAGAGGTGATTCTGGTTGAATACACCATAGAGCTCACACGCCTCAGGAATTGTACCTGGGACCATCAGGACCACAAGCAAGTCCTCACTGTATGATGTGATAAGTTAATGAACAGATGGGAGATATAGCATATTCATTTGTCTCTAATAACTGCAGGAAATGCGAAAGACAAGGTAGGATAGAGCAGGTGGTCATGAGTGTATGCTGATGAGATTTACACTTCTCTTCAAATTCTATTGAGTTCAACATGAAACATCTCACATTTATCGAGAGGCAGATATCTTCTGTCTGCTGTCTGAGCTGGTTGATGAAAAGCAGTCTATTATTCCTGGGTTTTAAGTGTGTGTATAGGTCCCAAGTCATAATTTCTGTCCTGCGCAAACTTTCCACTAACAAGACAAAATAAAAAAATTGTTTATTCATTAAAAGGACTGTTGTTTTGTCCTCAGAAGGTCCTTTAGTGCTGGCAGAAAGACTATGACTGCGCAACAGCAGGAGGGACCCTGCAAGGATATTGTCCTTCACACACCAGTGAACCTCCTGCAGCAAGGACACTGCAAGTCCTGAGATCAGACACTCTAATACCACCTTGAGTTTGAGCAGTTTTCCCTGAGTTCTGGTAACTGAGGCAATCTATGCATTTAGGTTTCTACTTCAGCCATGACATTTTGATGCTTCAGTTAGATGTAATGTTGGAATTTCCACAAGTTGAGCTATTTTACCACTTGTGCTGGTAGCCACAGCGAGCAGCTGCATAGTACTTGGTTGCTGGCTGGAGTTAAAACATAACAGGTCCTTGAGAGTAGTATTTACTTTCCAAGAGTAAGTTGAGTTGTAAGCAGTTTCTACAACACAGTGATGAGATCATGTTTTTACAGGGTTCATGTGAAAGATTAATAACCAGTTTTATTTGCTGTCACAAAAGACGGTAACAAATGTAGCATATACACAATTCAACAATACTCACCTGAAAGGTTCTTTCAGTTGCAAAATGGTTATATAGCCTCACAAGCTTTTGTTTGAAGCGCAGGCAAATAATCCCATGTTGCAGTTGCAGTTACATATTCTTATTTGGATTAATGAACAGCAAAAGACATACATGAGTGCTCTGCAGCCTTGCTTTGGTTATGATACTACAGAACTACTAAGCACCAGCTATCCACACCTGGTGCTATGGATACTTGGAACTGCTGGAAACTCAAACTGTAATGAGGGGCTGATCACTATATGTAACAGAGGAGATTAGTCAAACATGCAATTTTGGAAACACTATCAAAGTCAGCAACAGATGGTTACAGAAATCTCAAGTTTCAAGTACTAAATAGCGTTTTTCTGTAGATATCAAATGATAAAAAAAGAAAACGCCATTTCAAAAACTTTTATAATTTGTTAGAAATAAACTCAAACCTGAAAATACCAACTTCTCTCTCTAATTGTTAATACATGCTAATTTCTTAAAGGAATGAGTTTATATCATAGCAGCAAAGAAGATTTTCAGAAGAAATCTTCTATTTTTCATGGTTTGCACATCTATATATTTTCATCCCTGCATAACAAAATCAATGCTATTCACTACAGCTATGTTTCTTCTTGTTGTTTTTGTTTGAGTTTTTTTTGGTTTTTTGGGGTTTTTTTGTTTTTGTTTTTGTTTTTTTTTATACACCTGTAACTAGTACATAGTCCTTGGTTTGATAAAAACTGCTATATTCTGATTGCCAGGGTGGGAAAATTTTAAAGCAGAAGGGCTACTCAGTTAGGACATCCTAACACACTGAACTGTCCACTCAAGCTCCTACATCTTCCCCTGCTCCAGACACACTAAAATCTCTCAAGACCCTATACCTGTATTCCTCTAAATAATTTTATTTTTGGTTCCACCTCATACTAGCAAAACAACATGTGTTGATCGCTAGATTTTACTTAACTGTATACACTCAGGGGCAATTATCACAAGTTTAAAATGTATTTTTACCATCTCCATCCAAGTAGAATGTCTCAGTAACTTTTCTTAAATTGAGAGGGTTTTCAATTCAGTAGGTCCCATGGCCCTTTTC